TTAGGGGTTTTGGGTTTAGGGGCCTTAATAATTGGAACAGGGTTTTAGGGGCTCCTTATTATAACTATAGGATACTATAACCCAAACCCTATTCTAATTATTAAGAGTTGAGGGTTGAGAGTTCGGGGAGTTTTAGGGTTTAGGGTTGCGGTTAGGGTTTGGGGGTTTGGCGGTTTAGGTTTGAGGAGGGGTGAGGCTTCAGGGTTGGGGTTAAGGGTAGGGGGTTTAGGGTTTAGGTTTGAGGGTTAAGGGTTTAGGGATACCTTCTTAGCAACGTAGTAGCAGTAGCAGGAATAGTCGTGGTCGTGGTCGTGGTGGCACTCGTGGTTCGAGTCTCAGTAGTAGTAGTCGTCGTCGTCGTAGTAGTAGTAGTGGTAGTAGTAGTAGTAGTAGTAGTAGTAGTAGTAGTAGTCGTGGAGGAGGAGGCGTCGTCGTAGTCGTAGGAGTCGTAGTAAGCAGCGGCGATAGTAGTAGTCGTCATCGTCGTAGTCGCAGCAGCAGTAGGTGTTGTTGTATCAGGAATGATTGGAGGAAGGAGTAGCAGTAGAGGAGTAGCAGTAGCAACTGCATTTGTAAGCACTGCTGCAATCCATATAGCGGCTGCAGCAGTGCAGCTACTAAAAACAATACAGTCAGCCCCAAAAGTTGGAAACCGGATTAAGGACAATTAGTGCTGGGATTCCCTATTCGTTACTCTTAAGTTTCGGGGCTATTGGGTTTCCAACTTTTGAGCTTCTACTATAATTGCCATAAACCAGCACATGAACTTCGACTTGTCCCAAGCACTACCAGTCGGAGCACGCTAATGCGAATGCCGAGGTTAGTTGCAGGAACTAGTAAACCCACACTGACCCCAAAAGCAAAACATGCTAAGCCCCGCACCCTAAAGTCCTAGACCCGAACCCTTAAACCCTAAACCCGAAAGCCTAAACTCACAGACTCTGAACTCCTGTAGCCTTGGACTCCGAGACCCGAAACCGTGAACGGACCTCCTGAAGCTGACTCTCCACGCTTTCCAGGTCCGCGGCCTTCGCGCCAAGCAGAAGCGGATTAAAGGCTTCTCAGTTTAGGGATTACCTTAAGAAACCAAAACCTACTTTTTTGTAGGGTCCTTATAAATCCCATATTAGGGTTTATAATAAGAACCTACAAAAAAGTAGGTTTGGGGTTCCTAAGGTAGGGTTTGGGACAGGGGTTTAGAATTTAGGGTTTAGAGTTTAGACTGTGGACTGGGGTGCAAAACGCCGTACGCAACTCTAATTCGCACTGCCACGCCGGAGCCCCTACAAACCCGCTTAACCCTAAACCCCTAAACCCTAAACCCCCGAAGCCCCTAAACCCCCCCAGCCCTAAACCCCTAAACCCTAAACCCACAAAACCCTTCACGGTACACGGTTTACCGTCCTCCAACCTGACACCGGAGCGCTGCAAAGCCCGACAAGGCCCCCGCAGACCCGGGGTTTAGGGTTTAGGGTTTAGGGTTTAGGGTTTACAGACCATGCCTCTTACTACGCATTTTTTACTGCAGGGGCCTTAATAAAAACTAGAATAGGGTTTTGGGGGGGGTTCCTTTAAAGGGTTCCTTGAAGGGATACTATAAGGTAGGGCCTTAATAGTTAGAATAGGGTTTTGGGGCTCATTATACTTATATTTACAATAAGAATTCCCCAAAACAGGTACAATTACTAAGGCCCCCAAAATAGTATAGGTAATTATTATTACTATTATTGTTATTATTATTGTTATTATTGTTATTATTGTTATTATTGTTATTATTGTTATTATTGTTATTATTGTTATTATTGTTATTATTGTTATTATTGTTATTATTATTGTTACTATTATTCTTCTTATTGTTATTATTTTATTACTATTTGTTGTTATTATCATTATTATTTTTGTTAGGGCTCGAATGGCCTGCAAGGGCAGGAATATCGGCAGCCCCAGTTCCCGTATAGTCGCCCCATATGGGGAAGGGAACGCCTTTAACATCAAGCATGGTGAGCCGTGCTGTCTATGAGCTCTTGGAGTATGGGGATTCGGTTTCGCTTCGAGAGCTGCGCCTGGTCTTACAAGAACGGACATGCATTGACCTGACATCCCAGAAGTCCTTCATAAGGCAAGTGGCAGAGGATACTTTCGCGACCCTGACTTCCGGTCTCGACTTGATGCAGTTGAAGCTGGAACAAGTAGCACGACTGAGCGATCCGTATGCCGGTAAGTGGGAACCTTTGTGCCGTACAGTTGCTACAGGTGCTGCTGGTGCTGCTTTTCCGTGCATGACACGTGGAAGCGTGCTCTTCACAGAGCTTCACGACCTCGGCGGCGCCATCGTTGTGCCTTCTATGTTTATCTGTGCTGGGACTGACAAGGTGCCAAAGGCGAATGCGTGGCATGATAGCCTTGCGAGGAACACATGCTGCCATTCCAGGTTGTCTTCAGAATTTGTGGGACAACGTGCACATGAACATCGCCGTGCTGTG